TAGGCACTGGGAGGGATACAAACACAGAGGAACCCAGTCTTTGCCCTCAGGAACTTATAATCAAATAGAGAACATGCTACCAAAACTAGTTTAAGTGCCCCTTGGGTAATTCAAAATAGCTGCTATGGGACTTTAGATGTAAACATTCTCACTCCTAGCTAGGGTGATCAGGGAGGGCTTTATTGGTGGGGTAGCAGGAGCAGCGCTTTAAAGGAGGAATAGAATTTTAAACGAGACAGATGACTAGAGATGACGGGAAGAGGGGGTTCAAGTACACAGGGAAATCTCTGAGTTGGCTGGAAACAGGTATATGGAGTGAGATGGAAGAAAAGAAGATTAAAGCCAGCTTTCACTTCAATTCACAAATACTAGCGTGCATACACTTAACAGAGATTTTCAAATTTTAACCCAATCACAGAATGTCTCCTAGTTAAAAAAGAAACCTGACTTAGACATTTATTTCACAACTGCGCAAGAAAACCAATCTTAAATTTAGAAAGTTATATAAAAACTAATCTTTTCTACAAAAGAGGACAGACAAGAGAGGGAGTTGGCTGGGTGGCTGGGTGACCTGAAATGGTCACAGCAGAGGCACTAGTAGGGACAACTTCTCATGGCCTTGCCAATGTGCTTTAATTCAGTCAAGAAGGACAACCTTTTAAGAGGAAAGACTTCAGATACCACTGCCAAATCACACTTTTGCTTCTACACAGAAAGTATCAGATAGGATTTGGTGTTTAATGTCTTTTTATTCATGCTCCGAAAAACCACCAAACTCAATCCAACAGGCTAACAGACTTCAAACTTTTCCTTATTCTGACTCACTTAAGTTTATCTTTATTCAAAGCTTTCGTTAAGATTTCACACTTAGTTCCTCCTTATAGCATCGGGCAAAAAAATCTTAATATTCTTTAACCCAGTACTCCTTTTTTATATAAGCAGATAATTGGGGAGTAAAAATTGGAATTAACTGGTCCCGTGTTCCTTCAGCTCTGTGCCTCTGTTTACTCATTTGTACGGGATGGTTATTTTATGTGTCAAATTGGCTGGGCCATGGTGCCCAGACATTTGGTCAAACCTTTCTCTGGAGGTTTCTGTGAAGGTGTTTTTGGATGGGATTAAGATTTAAATTGGTAGACTTTGAGAAAAGCAGCTCACCCTCCATGTCACGGGTGGGCCCTACCCATTCAGTCAGAGGCCAACGCCACGATAGAGCAGAGACTAACCTATCCTGAGTAAGAGAGAATTCTGCCAGCAGACTGCCTTTGGACTTTTCTGCAACTCTTCCCCTTAGTCTCCAGCCTTCTGGCCTACCCTAGAGATTCTGGACTCACCAAGCCTCTACAATTTCCCCGAGGGAACTCCTTAAAATAAATCTCTGCCTCTCCACACATACACATTCTGTTTCTCTGGAGGATCCTAAAACAAACGTTAGGGCCAGAACCAGGACTATAGCCTGTTGGTCAGACTATTTTCATTTCCCAAGGAGAGGAGAATAAAAGAAGGGAAAGAGTGTAGTCAAAGGGAAGAACAAAGCTAACACATATATCTTTGTTTTTATTTATCTCTAGTTAAGGCAAATAGATTAAGTGCAAAGCAAACCAACTTATACATACATATTTTAATGTTCTAAAACCAAAAAAGTTTGACTTGGACTCACAAATTATTGCACAAAAATAAATATTTCATGTGTTTCCTTTCAGGCCCATTCTTCTTCTTTTTCTTTTAAAGTTTACTTATTTATTTTGAGAGAGAGTGTGTGTGTGAACAGTGGAGGCTCAGAGAGAGAGGCTCCCAAGCAGGCTCCGCGTTGTCAGCGCAGAGCCTGATGTGGGGCTCGAACTCGCAAACCGTGAGATCATGACCTGAGCCAAAACCCAGTCAGACGCTTAACCGACTGAGCCACCCAGGCGCCACTCAGGCCCATTCTTCATAAAACATCCACACACATATGCAATTATTACCGACTTCAGTCCAACCAGAGTTTCAGAATTATTAAATCTCTATTTCTCACCAAGGACGACAGACCCCAGTAACTGATCTGCTACTATGTGATGATTAATAGTGATGAAATTAATCTGTATTTATTAAATAGGATTATTAACTGTTAAAGCTCAACTGCACATATCAAACAAAGAACTTCATTATTCTACCACCTCAGATCATTATTTCTATTAATGATGAAGACAATTTTATTAAGCAAACTTTCAATAACATTCTAGGGCATTATTAAAATGATATTTTTAGGGAGTCTGTGCCAATTATCCATCTTAGTCTGATGTTTCTCGTGGCACGTCAGCAATTCGTAACATTAGAAATCTTACATAGGTCTGTTTAGGTCAGTATTGCCACATTTCATCTAAACCTGACTGCAAAGAAGCAAGGAATATAATTAGCCATTAATTATATTTGTTCTAATAGGATAAGTATTTCATCTGCAAATAACAATATTTGAGAGAGTTAAAGTCAAGTTATCAGCTTCTGAAGAACATCCTTCAGAGTAAGTACTTTTTTGCTACAAATATGAATATCTAATGTAATTATAGTTGAGCATTACATACCATCAACACTCCAAAATTTACTTTTTAGTTAGTAGGAAGGTGGACACATTTTAACAAAAACTATGATAACGAATCTTTCTTACAGAAACTGAGGACTGATTCAAGAAGTAAGCACCTGAACCGGTAAGATCCAGACTGGGGGCAGATGTTACCACTTTAATGACCCAAAGGTTCCGTGGGCCCTTGTGTGTCTACAATGCACAAGAGACTTAGGTGTGAACAGTCACACACAAATGATTCAAGAGCTTTCACTCTAAGTGGGGGAGTCAAAGGAGGTAGCAGTACTCAGACAATACATTACAGGTCGGAAAATATTTGGGGTAAATAAACAACTAAACAGACAGCAGTGGCAGATGAGAGGGGTAAGAGGAGTGGGAATGGTTTTCTCAGAGAACGAGAATATTTTATCACTGACACTGTTCCCAATTGCCAGCATATGGTGACAATCGAAAGTAACCTCTTTCCATGTTTTTTTGTTTTTTAAATGAATGTTCATTTTTGAGAGAGAGAGAGAGAGCGTGAGCAGGGGAGGGGCAGAGAGAAAGGGGGACAGGGGATGCAGAGTGGGCTCTGCGTGGACAGCAGAGAGCCTGATGAAGGGCCTGAAGTCAAGAACCACGAGATCATGACCTGAGTCGAAGCCCAACGCTCAGCCGCCTGAGCCACCCAGGTGTCCCCCTGTTTATTCTCTTATAAAAGTCTGTTTATTATTTTTAAGTCACCTTCAGACGGTGCATCCCTTTGATGCTGGCATCTAGGGTGCACTGCTCCCACTGGCCCCCACCTCTTGGCACACCACTAAAAGACGGGGAGACCTCCAAAATGAAGCGTCCCACACTATCTCTAGGTCAAAGAGAACTTGTCTATGCCACACCAATAGAAAGAGCTTTCCCAAAAGAGAAATTAAAAAAAATCAAACTGTAACTATTTTCACTACTGTAGTTGGTATTACTGTAAGTGGTTCAAATATATTATATATTAACATAACAACTGAAATGCTGATTTGTTTTCAATTTGTATTCATCTAACAAACAGACATATTTTCACGATGAAAAATAACTTACAACCAAAAGAAAATGTAGTGTCATCTCAGCATAATTAGGGAAAAATGCCCTTTTGCCATATTTTATTCTTTCGGAGATCATAAAAAAGGTCGGTAGCTTAAAAGTATCAATAGCTGACTCCCCTAAAAGTTGAAATTTACTTTCAGCTTCATAAGGAACCGACACACTTGTCTCACTTCTGTAATGCCACTGTAAATAAAATACCCTAATAATATTAAAAATAAAATTTGCATACGGAAACAAGTTCCTTCAACCGAATTTCTGATGTTACCGGTCCTAGTCTAAATGCTTTCTAGGTGTGTGACCTGGAGATAAAATAAGTAGCCTTAAACACATTGCGAGGAGATTTGTTGAAAATAGATGTAAGCACAAGAAATTATGACACGGCAACATCTGATCTGAAGGCATTAAACACAGAGCAGCTCAGAAAGACTAGGTGCAAGGGGCAGATCAGCTCCATCTCAACGTCTACAGGGCTAAAAGCTAAGTCACTATTGACTACGTCACTGAGTGACTAAGTGACTAGTGACGAAGTCACTATTAGTGACTATGTGACACATGTGATCAGAGACCAAGTCATCACTTCCAGCACTGTGTTTGTAACTGTCTGGAATGAAGGCATTGTCACAGACTTTACTATAGTTACCACCTTTACAAAGAAAAGAACAACAAAGCACAAGGTAATTATGCAATATGGGGAATTTGAGATTTAAATCATTTACATCCAGGAAGATGAATGAACAATGCACCATTTAACGAAAAATTTCATGCTAGACGGATTTTATAAAAAGGCATAAATTATTCTGCCATGTGGAATTCTTAAGAATTTAATGTGCATTAACGTGGCAAGGCTTCTCAATAATGTACTCAATAATGATTAATAACTGTTACTGGTCAAAAGTCTGCTACTAATATAGTGGGGCTTAAAAATAAGCAGGTTGATCTCTATCTCTCAAAAAAATAAACATAAAAAAACAACAACCCAGCAGACTGAATTAAGATCTCCTCTCCTAATATGTAACTTAGTTTCAGTAGGCTCTGAAGTTTCATTTCCAAGTTATTCACAAATATATTGATTTCTAGAGTTTGCTTAGCATCTAATAATTAGACTTCATTTATAAAGTGAAAAGTAAACAAAAGCTTAGGAAAACAAATGTGCCCTCTTTCACCTCTTCAGGGAACCCCAGCCAGTATACGTCAGAGAAGCAGGATGCATCATATAAACAGCACGAGGCTAGACTGTAAGGAGACTACAGCACTCTCACCCTTCTACAAGGTTTGTAAGTCTATGCAGCACTGATACGTAGAGACGACTAGAAAATCAACCAACTATAAATGCATCCTTCTGCTTAAACCTAACTACATATCAACTTACCAAATCCCTGTGCAACACCCAGTTAGCATGCAGGTAGTGAATCCCATCTAGGATCTGATACAATAGTGACTTCACCATTCCCCGAGGTAACTGAACTGGCTTCTTGTTTGCTTTAGAAGCTCTGTGAAACTTGATTATATGCTGAAAGAAAGAAAAATATCACCAGAAGCTTAAAAAAGAAAAGAGGGAAAGATCACTTGATGTATAATATTTTCCTAACAGAAAAAGAAACACTCAGGGATTCCCAAAGATATCCAAAATATAATTTCATATTCTGCTGGATAACATAAACTTAAAATTTCCTACTAACTGAAGCTAAAATTTCATTTCCTGAGCAAATGATCGTGTCTCAGAAAACAAATGATTACAACAGAGAAGTTGAGAGCAATGTGATTTTATTTTAAAAGTATAATTAAAAAATACTTTCAGAATATACTTGACCCCTGTTTACCTGGTAGAAATTTTCAAGAACAGAATCTGTTTTATCTGTACTAATTAAATGAAAAGAAAATAAACAGAACAAATTTCAAGAGATACTTATGGGTTGGCTGACATAGCATAAATGTGTTGCCTGTTTATAATACATGGGTTATAAAGGAAGCACACAGGGAAATTATTTCAATAAAATACACAGAAGCATAAAGAAATCACATGTAAATGACCAGTTCACACTGGAAATATTTAGAAATAGCTAAGATTCAGATGAGAAAAAAATAGCCTTGTACTATTCATTAAAAACTTTCTAGGAACAGTATTAGTGGACATCCGGTAAAACACAATACCATTTTATAAACAGGAAAATTGCTTTATAAACAAATGTACCTCAGTAGAAACAAGATCCCATGTTTCAAACTCTCTTGACAGGTTTCTTCGTTTTAATTAAAGCACTCTTAAACTGCAAGAACACCTACAAATCAGCTGAAATCAACTCTGCTGTGTGTAACACTAGGCATATGCCTGGTACCTCATGTGCAGAAGAACAGACTCTTGAGCAGTATTTATGGGTGAATATCAACCATATTCTTGACATTAGTAAACACAACTAAAACAGGACAGACATATTTTATATTACAGGTCAACATTTTCACCTCCTATTTTCTTATGACATAGAAAGTAGAACAAGGATAAGGAATAACTAGTAACTCATGAGTGAAGAAGTTTTACTTTCCAAAGAAAAAAATATATAGCAAAGACTACCTGGTGGGAAAGTAAAAGTGTCAGCCTGCATGTAGTATGATTAATCTATACTTTATTAGCAGCATAACACTATTTTAATTTTCTTCTGTTATCTGCCCAAAGTATTTTAAAACAGTCAAGCAAAATAGAGCTAAAACTCAATAATCTAGAATGTTCTGTCACATATCCTAAGAAATGGTGTGACAATGAAGTCTGTTCACCTTAAGAGCTAGTGGTTTTCAGAGCTTAATAAAAATAGATTAAAATACATCATTATTTAGAAAAATTAAAACTTGACAGAGTGAGAAGAAAAGAATATGTAGGGGAGGTACAATAAATGATGCCATATGCACTCCTCCAGTTAACATTTTTAAGTAATCTCTATCCCCAACGTGAGGTTCGAGCTTACAACTCCAAGATCAAGAGTTGCTCACTCTACTGGCTAAGCCAGTTAAACACCCCTTCAGTTAACATTTTCATTAGGGTTTAACAAATTACTTTTTTACCAATATGTCATAACTACAAAAAACTACACTGGGGAAATCGCTTACCTTCGTTTTTATTCCAGGGCTATATAAAAAATATGCGGTGTGCTTAGCATGAAATTTCACCAACACCTAAGTGATTTTTTTAAATGACTCTTTTTACTGCAACTGTTTTTGTTATCCTCTGCTGCCTTCCCCCAGCTAATTCAACACTCCAATTAAAATAAGAAAATGAAATGGATAAAGGAGGTTTTAGTAAACGGAATTATTTTATTTTTATTAAAATGAACATTAAAAGTACTTATTTGACTTAAGGCCAATGATGCCCATGTATACACATCTGGGAACACTGCATGCAGCATAATCTGCGAAAGTATAATTATTATATCGACACGTAAAATTAAATATCACATACTAGCTAGAAATTATACTGAATACAATACGATCTCCTATGTTCAACTATTACAAATCATGATTTATTACAAATTATGTTTATAAACCAGCCTACACAATTTCTCATAAATTTGGATCGTATAATTTGATTTCATGTTAGGCTTGAGAATGAGCGTCCAATTCAGTATCGGCCACACTAATTTAATAAATTTTTATTAACAGAATCCCAATTTGATTTGATCAGATTTATTTTAAAAGAACAGAAGTGAACAACAACAAAAATATTTACAACCAGCACTGACTGTGGACAATAGTTTCATAGAATAGAAAATGTGATGTCTACTTTCAGTTCAAAACAATTCTTTACAGATAACTTACACAAATAATTTGAATCAAATTGCATTTACTCATGGAAAACAGAAATCCACAGAGTGAAAAATACTTCTTATAAATCTGAAAGTATATGAAACCCATAGAAGTTTCCATTTCTGAAATCCGTTAGGGTTAAAATTATGTAAATGAGGTTAATTCTGGAAATTAGCAAGAGTTGAAAACTATTTTCAGGAGGTGAACTTCCTTCCAAAACTATTTACTGTTTACTTGTGTTAGTTTTACTTCAAAATTTTGTTTTTACATTTACAAAGTGCAGCTGAATGAAAACTGTAAATTATTTTGAAGATACCTGAAACCGAGCCAGAATATTATAATCCCTTGCATACCAGTACAGATGGTCCTGACTTACAGTGGTTCAACTTATGATTTTTTGACGTGGTGATGGAGCAAAAGCGATGAGCATTCAGCAGAAACCACACTGCGAATTCTGAAATGTGATCTTTTCCCAGGCTAGCAGCACGCAGGCCAGTGCTCGCTCAGGATGCCAGGCGGCGGCAGCTGCTGTACCTCAGCGAGGGGCAACGGCCAACGCGCTACAACCATTCCACACTCACACAACCATTCTGGTTTTCAAGTTCAGGACAGTGTTCAATAGATGATGTGAGGTACCGAGCACTTCATTACAAAACAGGCTCTGTGTTAGGAGATTTTGCCCAACTGGAGGGGGATAAGTGTTCTCAGCACAGTTAAGGTAGACTAGGCTACGCTATGATGTTCAGCCATCAGGCTAGGTGTATGAAATGTACTTCTGACTTGATATGTTTCCAATCTGCGATGCATTTATCAGGATCTAACTCCATCGTAGGTCAAGGAAGATCTGTATGTATGTTTGTTTTCTTTTATTTATCTCAAGAGATGCACAGCCAGTATAGAAATATACATATAGGCCAGTATACAAAACACAGTGAAATATGTAAAGATCCTATTAAATTACTTATTAAATATCAGAAAAAATAGAGTTCACAGAAGTGAAGCACTTGTTAATGAATTAACTCAATGTAATACTGGGTTTTCGCTTACTTGTTTTATTTTCTCAACTGTAGTTTGTGTTAACATGTTCTTTACACAAGACTGACTGATCAGCATATAAGTTTTGTGAGTATATTTCAAAATTGTTTTGGCTATCTTGCTACAGATTTTCATTTTATATATCATAAACTCTTATCCCTAAGATTGCACTTCAGAGTTTCAAAAAACATAACCGTTATGATTAATAGAATAAATCTGATAGTTGCCCAAGACTTTCGTAAATACCGGTTTTAAAAACAATCTACTGAGTAAATGCAAATACTGAGTTAGCTCTTAGTATTTCAGCTCTTTAGCCAAGATAAATTTAAATTCTGAGCCAAAGCATAAGAGACTCTTAAAAACTGAGAACAAACTGAGGGTTGATGGGGGGTGGGAGGGAGGGGAGGGTAGGTGATGGGCATTGAAGAGGGCATCATTTGGGATGAGCACTGGGTGTTGTATGGAAACTAATTTGACAATAAATTTCATATAATAAAAAAAATAAATAAAAGTAAAAAAAATTTTTTTTAATAAATTCTCAGTTTATAATAATTTTTATCAATGTAACATCATTTTTGTCATTATATTAGCTAACCTAATAAAACTCATCTAAGAGACTATAATCACTTGACTTTGAGAATCTTCAAGGATTTGACCGGAAGCTGTCTTCCACAAAGAATTCTTCCTAAACGAGACCATGCCCAATTCAAGTAAGTACAATACTGAATTTCTGTTTATGGAAATAAGGAATACATTAGAATATGGTATTAAGTGTGAATAATATCCAGGAAATGATTAATAGTATGTTAGATTTGTATACTACACTTAGCTTATGAAGCTTTCCAAATACAAAATTGCTCTTCCAAAAAATCCTGTAGAAAAGCAGGAAAAGTATCACATTTTACAGATGGGGGGGGCGCCTACAACTTCAGAGCCCCCCCCCCCACTCAGAGCCATTAAGAGACTTGCCTGATGTTGTATGACAAATAACAGAATGACTAGCTCTAACGTATTTGTCTCCCTACACACGGATACCACTTTCTCATCTTATATTCCTTTACAGAGTAAAAGGAAACATGCTGCTTTTAAATCCTAGAACAAAATGGCTATTACAGTTACCTTAAAAATTTTATCAAAAATCTGTAGCTAAGATACCACACCGAATAGTTGTTTATACTGTTCAGATTCTACTGTTTTCTGTAGCATGTAACAAAGATGAAATTGATAAGACCAAAAAGTAATAATACAGAGCAAAATACCCTAGTCTTGGTAATTCATCAACCATATTCTGTGAGGTCACTTTTACTTAAAAAAATGTAAATCTCACAGTAAGATAAACTCCTAAAATTGTTTTTAGTCACCTTTAATCCCTGACTAAAACCAATGACTTGATGCCTACCACAATTCACCTTACCCAGAGGTCATGTTCAGCGTAGTCAAACAGAAGCCATACTTTCCTATCAGCATGAGACAGAAACACCTTTTGAAGAGAGATGACATTTGGATGCTTAAGCTCTCGAAGTAACTGCAAAATAAGGAAGATCCATTAAAAATTTTTGCTATGAAAATCATGTTAAATAAACCACACCATTTGTAATTCACAGGCAATAAAAACCCAATGGTAATCAATCCTAAAAATCTCATAACTACCCACACTATTTTAAAAGTGTCCATACAGATGAGGAAAAACTGTTTGGAAAAGATATAATTGAGTAAATCTGTTTTGTTGTTATTGTTTAGTTGGTTTTCTTATTTTTTATTTTTTGTGATAAAATACATAACATTAAAATTACCATTTTAACAATTTTTAGTGTACAATTCAATAGCATTAAGTCTCCTCAAAATGTCTGCAACCATCACCACTACCCATTTTAGAACTATTTATGATCCTAAAGAGAAACTCTGTACCCATTTAACAATAACTCCCCATTTCCCTTCTCTTCTCTCAGCCACTGCTAACCTCTACTCTACATCGTCTCTATGGATTTGCCTACTCCAGGTACCTCTTTTAAAGTAGTAGAGTCATACAGTATCTGTCCTTTGGTGTCTGGCTTATTTCACTTAGCATAATGTTTTGAAGGTTAAGCCACACTGTAGCACTAGCAGCGTCATAATTTCCTTCCTTGCTTGGGGCTGAATACATTCCACGGTATGTATGTACCATCTTTTGTGTATCCACTCATCTGCTGATGTACTTGAGTTGTTTCCATGTTTTGGCTGCTGTAAACAATGCTGCTGTGAACACTGGTATGCAGCTACCTGAGTCTCTGCTTTCGATTCTTTGGAAATATACCCAGGAGTGGAATTGGTGGATCACATGAGACTTCTGCGGTTCACTTTTGGAGGCAACACCAAACCGGTTTTCACAGCAGCTGTACCATTTTATATTCCCATCAGCGACGCATGAGGGTTCCAATTTCTCCACGTCTTCATCAACACCTATTTTCCTTGTTCTCCCCGCTCTTTAATAACAGCCACATTGTAACAGATATGAAGTAGTATCTCACTGTGGTTTAGATTTGCCTTTTCCCTAACAATGGGTTAGGCATCTTCTTTAAGGTGCTCATTGGTCATTTGTATACCTCCTTTGAAGAAATGTCTATCCAAAGTCTTTTGCCCAATTTTGGATTGTTTTTTTCTTCTTGTTGTTGTGATCCTTTAGCGTAGATATTAATCCCTTATCAGATAAATGATTTACAAATGTTTTCTCCCATTTTGCTAGTTGTCTATGTTTTGACATCCTAAAACAATTGAACTTAAATGTATAGTTTGCAATTCTTTAAAAAAAACTCATCACGACATTAGAAAATACAACATTTATCAATATCAAATAGCAGATGAGAATTAAGATCTGTAATTCTGTGAGATATGGTACCTATTTTCTCAGGCATTTCAAATATATAGTAAAATTGATTAAAATATTTCAGCCCTTAATAAAATAATAAAGAACTTATGCAGACAGAAGCATCTAAGTAGAACACATTTTTATGGGTTTAACCTTTCTCATTTCCTAGAAGGACATTCTTTTATCTAAAATCTTTTATCTCCTTATTTTATTCTCATTTCATAACCAATGTGGCCCTAATAATCCATTAGGATTAAAAGGTTAAAAAGTATTCCTACCTTGTCAACAACAGCTCCAACAATGACAAGAAAAAATTTCTCATGAAGCCTCATACTACGTATTTATCAGTTACAACTGACTTACACAGTGGCTTCCAAATGTGTTCCAAATACATGACAGCCATGTGAGAAAGTCAAGGTCTTGGAACTTACGACTTCAGTACCTTTTATAAGAACACTGCTACCAAAACAAGAATTAATATAAATACAATGTTAACAATATATTAGGGACTCTAAAATGAATTCAGCAAAGGAAAGACTATGAATGGACTGTATGTTAAATCACTTACATTAACGATTATTCTCCGGAAAGTGATAATTATTTTATTCAGAAGCAAGATTAAATTCAAGTTATCTATTTCTGCTTTTAGAATATAATTTCAAAGCTATGAGACTTTAGAGAGTACACACAAATCCTCAGAAACCTAAAGGGGCAGTATTTAAGATTAACCATTTCCTAATTAGTAAACAAGGCAAAGAATCTGATAGGGGAAGTCTAGACTTCGGAGTCACCCAGGATAATCCAGCTGGCTGGAGAGCCAACCCTAGTGCTCAGTTCACTTTAGTTCTGGGTCAAGCGTTTTCTCTATTACCTCACGATTGGAACACACTTCTCAGGCACTATTTCAAATCACTTCTGGAAAGTGGCAGGGTAGAAATTACGACAAACTCCATTAGAAACCTACATATAAAGCTATTCTTAGATAACCCCTCAATTTTACTTCCAAGATGAGGCTTAGCTCCGGTACTGGGGAAGTGGGGGAAACAACCAGCAACATACTTTATTAAGTTCTCTAGAGGCCCAAACATGGTGCTAAATAAGCAGAGGACATGCCTTATCTCGCTTAATCATAAATTACTGTATGAAATATTTATATTACTTCTATCTTATAAATGAGAAAATAGTGGTTTGAGGGTATTAAATAATTTGCTCATGGTCATAGTCCTGGGTAGTGGTTACGATCAGGCTTTAAATGCTTTTAAAACTGATTAATTGACTTTTAAAACACAAAGCCAACACTCTAAGGTCTAATACCAATACCTTCCAAGACCTAACACTCGGGGGGGGGGGGGGCTATTTCTCATTATACTTCATAAGCACAGATGTCTAAATATATACTAGGGTGTGAAATGCACAGTGACAGGCACAGTGCCTTGCTCACCATTTCACTGCTAGGTTCTAGCACACTGCCTGGGCACCTGGTAGGCACTCATTAGGTATTTGATGATTAATGAATTTGTGAATTAAAAAATATATACAAATGTACAGGCATCATACAAAACACCCTTTGGCTTCTGACCTGTGGACTAAGATCACTGCTCTCATCATAAAACCAGTCTACTTCTTTTAAGAATGTACTTCTTGGGGCGCCTGGGTGGCTCACTCGGTTTAGCATCCAACTCTTGATTACGGCTCGGGTCATGATCTCGCAGTTTGTGGGTTAGAGCCCCTCAATGGGCTCCGCACGAGTTCAGAGCCTGCTTGGGATTCTCTCTCTCTTCTCCTCGCTCTCTCTGCCTCTCCCCTAGCTTTCAGAATAAATAAACTTAAAAAAAAAATCCACTTCTATTTTTAAAACATCTACCTGATGAGTCAGACAACAAATCTTCGAGGGTAATAATTTAAAAATATATTAACAGTCAGTGCTATCATTATCATAGTAAGTAAGTAACAGTAAGTGTTATGGACTGAACTGTGTTCTCCCTCACATTCATATGTTGAAGCCTTAACTGCCAGTACCTCAGAATGTGACTGTATCTGAACATAAGACCTTTACAGAGGCAATTAAGTTAAAATAAGGTCATTAGGGTGGCCCTAATCCAATCTGAATGGTGGCCTTATAAGAAGAGATTAGGTAGGACACACAGAGAGACACCAGGGCAGCTGGTACAGACAGGACCTTCCAAGAGGTCACAAGAGAATAGTCGTCTGCAAAACCAGGAGAAGCCACAGAGGAAACCCAACTCTGCAGACTCTCCAATTTTGGACTTACAAGTTCCACCAGGAGAGAGTCAGTTTCTGTTGCTTAAGCCACCCAGTCCATAGTATTTTGCTCTGGCAGCCTTGGTAAACTAACTCAGTAAATAACTACTATTAGTGAGTAAGTAAGACACTCTATGCGGGGTGTTTTTTAAAGGGAGATTTATCAGGGGATGGGTCACTGTGGGATTAGAGATGGAACCGAGTCTCAGTGGGGGATTACATCTAAGTAAATATTTCTATTGAAGTACTTCCAAAAAACCAGGGAGCTGTGCTACATTTAGCAGGGCTAACATTAACCAAATACCTCCTACATGCCAGCCACTGTGGGAGATACACTAGGTCCTGGACATAAAATGTGCTAAGACTTGCTGAGGTTCTCCAGTGGGAGACAAATGCAAGTAAGCAGACAATCCTAGGCTGCGGCTGCAGTAGTGGTAACCCATTACCGACAGCAGCTAACATTTACCTGGAGTTTATTGTGTCCAAAGAAGTATGCTAAGCTCCTCACAATAAACCCTATGAGACACTATTACCATTTTACAGATGAGGAAACAAAAACACAATTAACTTGCCTTGGGCCCTACAAGCTAGTAAGTGGTCAAGCCAAGTAAAGCACAGGTTTATTTGGCTAGGGCTTTAAGTGCTACAGGCAGTGCTTTGACATTGGTACTCTGGCACTGGGAACATCCCAGTTTTCAAAGCTGATGAAAAGAACTTCAGCATTTCATCACCCCATACAGAGCCCACAGCATGTAGTTACATATTTCTTAACATTTTCTAAGGTTGTTTTTTTTTTTTTTTTGCCTTTTTGAAGATTTTAAGTTAAAAAAAATTAAAGAAAAGGTTTGAATAAGCTTAAGCAGTGGTTTCCATCACAAAAATCACCTAAATTCTTCTAATTCTACTGGGAACAAATTCTTGTAATTTCCTGAATACTAAGATCACTGCTAAAAATATAAACGTCTTAATATGTCATTCATTACAAACTTAATTCATTCTAATCGTGCCATCTAATATCACCCTTAATTTGAACTCTTAAAGTACAAATAAATAAAAAATTAATAATATTTGAAACTGTATCTTGTTAATAAATACCATGTATAGCTGTGAGAAGATAAGAAAATCTCCAATATTCTCAAAATGACATTGATTTATAATATTAAAATTTTACAACATGGCAAAAATAATAAATTCTGAATTTATGCCATAGGTCTGACGATAGCTATGGGCTGCTTCCATAATTTGGCTATTGTAAATGATACTGGAATAAACACACGGGTGCATGTATACCTTTGAACAAGTGTTTCTGCATTTTAGGGGTAAATACCCAGTTAGTGTGATTACTGGATCCTAGGGTAGTTCTATTTTTTTTTATTAAAAGAAACAAACTTTTTTTAATGTTTATTTTTGAGAGGGAGGGAGGGGCAGAGAGAGAGGGAGACAGAATCTGAAGCAGCGGCCAGCTGCTGAGCTGTCAGCACAGAGCCTGATGTGGGGCTTGAACCCACAAACTGTTAGATCATGATCTGAGCTGAAGTCAGATGCTTAACCGTCTGAGCCACCCAGGGGACCCTAGGGTAGTTCTATTTTTAACTTTCTCAGGAACCTCCATACGGTTTTCCACAGTTGCTACACCAGTTTGCATTCCCACCAATGGTGCAAGAAGATTCCTTTTTTTCCACAGCCTCGCCAACACGTATTGTTTCTTCTGTTTTTGATTTTAGCCATTCCGGCAGGTATAAGGTGATAGCTCATTGTAGTATTGGTCTGCATTTCCCTGATAATGAGTGATGTTGAGCATCTTTTTTATTGGCCATCTGGATGTCTTCTTTGGAGAAATGCCTATTCATGTCATCTGCCTATTTTTTAACTGGGTTATTTGTTTTGAGTGTTCAGTTTTATCAGTTCTTTATATATTTTAGACACTAACCCTTTATTAGATATGTGATTTGCAAATATCTTTTCCCATTAAGTGGGTTGCTTTCTAGTTTTGTTGACTGTTTCCTTTGCTGTGCAGAACCTTTTTATTTTGATGTAGTCTCAACAGTTTATTTTTGCTTTTGTATCCCTTACCTCAGGAGGCATATCTAGAAAAGTGTTGCTATAGATGATGTGAGAGAATTGACTGCCTGTGCTCTCTTCAAGGATTTTTATGGTTTCATGTCTTACATTGAGGCCTTTAATCCATTTTGAGTTTATTTTTGTGTACTGTTTAAGAAAGTAGTCCAGTTTCATTCTTTTGCATATAGCTGTCCAGTTTCCCCAATACCGTGTGTTGAAGAGATTGTCTTTTTTCCCATTATAAATTCATTTCTCCTTTGTCAAAGATTAACTGACACACTTGTGGGTTCATTTCTGGGTTTTCTATTCTGTTCCACACATGTTTAAAAAATTAAACAATATATTTCTAAATAATCCATGAATAAAAGAAAAGAATCACAAAGAAAATTGAAAACATTCTGTACTAAATGATAATGAAAATACAATGTAACAAAACTTATGGAATGCAAGTAGAATACAGCTTAAAGGGAAATTTATAGTTTTAATTGCTTATTGAAAAGAACCATTTAAAAATCAATGACCTAAGGTTCCACCTTAAGAAGATAAAAAAGAAATGTAAGCCAAAAGTAGAAGGAAAAAAAATAATAAAGAGTAGAGATCGATAATATAGAGAGAAAATACAAATTACCAACCTCCAATGAAACAGGACATCACTACAGAAGCTACAGATATGAAAAGATACGGGAATAATATGAACAACTTGGTGCTGATAAATCAACAACTTGCGTGAAATAGACAAACTACATAAAAAATACAAAATATCAAATACTAGATGCTATTAAGGATATAATATTAGTTTGTGAATTCTATCAAATATTTATAGAAGAAAAACTACCAATCTTACAGAAACTGAGAATACAGGGGATGAAGAAATGCTGCATAACGTGTTTCACGAGGGCAGCATAGTCTTGATACCAAAGACAAAGACATTACAGAAAAGATAATTATAGAACAACATCCTTCAAACTCATACAGTTAAAACTCCTTAACAACACACTAGTAAATCAAATCTAGCAATAAACAACCAAGCAGGGATTATTTCAAGAATGCAAAATTGGACAAACATTAAAAATCAACGTGGTCTACCAATGAAACAGAATAAAAGAGAACTATAGGGTCATTTCAGTACACACAGGAAAAAAGCATCTGATAAAATTCAATACCACTTATGAAAAAACTAGAAAGAGCTTCCTAAGTCTGACTGACAGCATCTATAAAAACCTACAGCTGGCATTTTATCTAATAGTGAAACACTGAAAACACTTTCCCCAAGACTGGGAACAAGTCAAAGATGTCTGTCCTCATTACTCTTCAACATTATATGGAAGCCAAGTCAGTGCAATAAGAAAAAAAATACAAAGATGAAAAGAGGTAAAACTATTCCAAATCATAGATGACATAACCATTTCTCTGCATATATCACCAAAACCTACCAGTGAATTTAGATATAAAATGGATACGAAAATAACAATATTAAAAAAATTCGAAGTATAGAAGCAAACAAATGGGAAGTAAAAATTTTTAAAGCAATCCATTTACAAGAGTACCAGAAAACATGAAGTCCTTAGGAATGAATTTAACAGAAGGTGTGCGTTTTCTCTACAACTAAAAACTACAAAACACTATTGAGAAAAATTAAAGAAAATATTAAAAAATAGAAAGTTTATCTTTTGAGTTTCATGGACCGAATGCAGTATTATTAAGATATTAGTTTTCCCCGAATTGATCCAAACCATAATCCCAGCATGCATATTTTAGAAATAAAAATGAGCTGATTCAAACATTCATATGATACTGAAAAGGACCTAAAATAGCCCAAACAATCCTGAAACAGAGGACTAAAGCTGGTGGCCTTATACAATCTTACTTCAAATCTTGCTGTAAAGCTAGAGTGACCTCATAATGGCATAAGGGCGGACAAAGAGATCAGTAAGAATGGAACAGAGCCCAGAACAGTTCACACTTACATAGTCATTTAAGTTTTTACAAGGGGAGGGGAGAAGCTCAAACCTTACATCACATGTATACAAACAAAAATGAATCAAACAGAACCCAAACTAAAGCGTACAACCAAAACTATACAGCTTTTAGAAGGAAACACAGGAAAATATCTTCACAATCCGTGGGTAAAGATTTCTTCAGTCAGGCACAGAAAACAATGGTCACGAAAAGGAAAAAATAGTAAATTTCATCAAAAATAAAAATTTGTGGGGCGCCTGGGTGGCGCAGTCGGTTAAGCGTCCGGCTTCAGCCAGGTCACGATCTCGCGGTCCGTGAGTTCGAGCCCCGCGTCAGGCTCTGGGCTGATGGCTCGGAGCCTGGAGCCTGTTTCCGATTCTGTGTCTCCCTCTCTCTCTGCCCCTCCCCCGTTCATGCTCTGTCTCTCTCTGTCCCAAAAATAAATAAAAAAACGTTGAAAAAAAAATTAAAAAAAAAATAAAATAAAATAAAAATTTGTGCTCACTTTAGGTTGAAGAACCATAATCATATACGTTAAAAATAAGTGTTCATATTTCTTTCCGTGCTGAACTTCATTTACAGTTATCAACATACACATGAAGAATGTCTGTTCCTAAAATGAGTTGTTTTCAAAACATTTTGCTGAAGTTTAATAAACACAGAGAAAGAGCACACAAACCCGTTAAGTGCACAGCTCGGTGAGTTCTCACATACTAAACCCACATAACCAGACCCAGAACAAGAACAAGAAACAGCACATTACTAGAATCCTGAAAGTTCCCTTGTCTCCACTTTCCGTCACTCCCTGACCCCTCCAAAGATAATCTCTATCATGACATCTAACATCACTGACCACAGTTCAATGGATTTTAATTCTTTAAAACTAACTAGAATATACAGAACTGTAGATGCTGGAAGAACTGATAGTTAATGTACAGATATCCTTCCTCTAGATTCAAGAGCATTAAAAATCTATCAATTACATGAAAGGTAATTTCCAGCATGGCATACCCTCCACCTCACCTCTACTCTTCCCTCGTGGAGGTAATTCTTACATGTCTTCCTGGAACCTTCCTTGATTTTCTCAGTTAGATGTAGATCCTTTTCCCATTCTCCATACAGTTCTATCACTGTGCTTGGTATACCATTATTATAAGATATATGAGTGTCTTTCCTCATCAGCATGTAAATACTCAAGGCCAGGGACCCTGACTGTTCCGTTTCTTTACTTTTACCTACTCTAGTTCCTGTCAACATGACATACAACAAATGAATGAAAACCCAGTGGTATAAATCTATTAAATGAGTAAAATTATCTAAGTTAATATATCTAGCTCACAATAGCCTATTATCTGTGGATAGATACAAGGGCTAAGAGCAACAAGATTATAATATATATTCTATAATATTCTCATTATAGCCAGAAAAGATAAATTTGGACCCACAGTGCCACAATAGTAAAAACTGAAGTAAAATCTCATGAAAGTAAAACTCAGTTTAAATCTGTGAATAATTATTTAACAGTGCATTAAGATGAATATTTTCCTTTGGGATTAAAATGAGATTCTAATGCCATATGGAAAGCTAAGTTTCCAAAAGAAAACAGCGCATATTTTTAACATATTCAAATGAACAGATACAATGAAAATCAAGTAACACGATCTCATTTTAAGTTCATGTAATGACATCAATCTCATTAAAACAGAAATACTAGTTTTAATGAACATATAGGTTTCTACAAACTTACTTTTATTGCACCCAATGAAATAATAACTGGACCCTTAATATTTAGTGACATTTACCAGAAAAATATATATTTATATAAACAAATAAGACTGACTTACTCCCAAATAAATGAATTTATGCAGACATTTTTGCTAGAACTACATGCCACCTTTACTTCTCTTAGGAAAGAAATATATTTTTCTACAAATGGTCAATATGAAAAATATTTACCAACTTTCAATTAACATGTATATGTGACAAATACAATTCAGAGACCACATAGTTGACATTCATGAGTCAAATGATAATAATGACTATAAAAAGGGCTTCACTTACTGCTATTTCTCTACATGCCGACATAGAGATCCCAGTTCCTTCTATTTGTTTTAAAGCATAGTCCTTATCATCTTTCCTGCAAAAACAAAGTTATTTTAATATACAGATAAAACTAAATTTACGTGCATTTTTAGTAATATAAAATATAAATAAATATAAGCCACATATTTGATACACAGACCACTTTTCACATGTGTTAAATAGTATCATATAGGAAGAAATTTTTAGATAATCTAGTTCAATCCCATTATTTGATGAGGAAAGTTACATTCAAAGTAATAAAAAGACTTGTCCAAGCCTCCATGGTTTGGGGAAGACAAAGATTCAGAAATGGAGCTCCAGACTTTCAGCAATGATATTATGTATAGATTTCCTTTTATACACGCATGTGTGCGTGTGTACTGTACCCTCAACACACACACACACACACACACACACACACACACACACACACACACACACACACCTTGCTTCCTAAAACCCATTCAGATATCGGTGGGTCAAAAAAAAATTAAGAAATGAATGCATCAGTAAAGTACAAGATGGTTATAATTTCAAACATGTTATAGTCCTCATATCTCCCAAATACCTTTGAAGAGATTCACTCAACATGTGTTGACTAAGCACTTACTATGTATTCAGAACTGTGCTTGGTATGGGGGTTACAGCAGAGTTCCTTCTTCTACGGAGCTTTCTGTGTCTGCTGGCCTAGACAGATAAGTAACTAACATACCGCAGTACGATAGAAGTGCTATGATAGGGCAAGCGCAAACCGCAGAGGTTACTCAACGGTTACTCTGGTGGAGGACCTAAGCAAGGACTTCTCAGAAGAAACACCATTCAACTGGGGCCTAAGTAGCAATTTTCACACTGTTTTGACTCAGGACCCCTTTACTCTCTTGGATATTACTGAGGACCTGCAAGGTTTTGTTCGTCATATCTATCAGTACTTACCCTATTCGATTTTAAAAATGGGAACTTTTAAAAACAGAATACAAAGCACCTATCCGTTAGCCAGCAGAGCGATGATGTCACGTTATGACACCTTTGGGAAAAAAACCCACTGTATATGCATGAGACAGTGAGAAAGGAAATACCATTGGCCCTTGAACAGTATGGGTTTGAGGTGCACGGGTCCACTTATATGCAGATTTTTTTCAACAAATACAATACTGTAAATATATTTTCTCTTCTAGTTTTAGTAACATTTTCTTTTTTCAAGCTTTCTTTATCGTTAAGAACACAGTAAATAACATGTAACATAACAAACATGTGTTTAATTTGCTGTTTATGTGATCCGTATGGCTTAAGTAGTCAAGTTCTTAGGGAACTAAAAGTTATATGTGGATTTTAGACCGTGGTGACCGCGGTAGGCTGTCGATGCCCCCAGCCCCCACGTAGTACTCAAGGGTCAACTGTGACATCACAGCACTACTATGAAAATCGTGTTGACCTTGCAGATTCTCTGAAAGGATTCTGGGGGTAACTAGCGGTTCCCAGATCGGAGTTTGAGAACTGCTGATGTGAGGGTACGTGCATTTGTGTATGTGGCTTGAGTTAAGACGGAAACACAATGCGAAGACGCATGAGGCGAGACAAAAGCATTTGAGGAGAACAGACATCGTAAACAACGGGGGATGAGGCTAAGGACATTAATCAGGAACCAGAACATAAAAGTCTTTTTACTCCAAGAATAACAGGAAGCCCTCCATTAAAGATCTCTTTAATAAGAGAATATCAATTATATTTTACTGGGAAAACATATCTTTGGCTGCCTTTTGAATGCTTTGGGAGAGCAAATGAGAACAGGAGGCAGAGAAGCCACTGAAAAGTAAACAGCGTTAAAGTAATTCAGCTGAGAGACGGTGGCGGTGGCTGCACAACGGTGGTTTCTATACAGAGGACACGGACCGGAGTGCGCGAGGCAGGACCAGTAGCACTTGGTGACAGGATACTGGTCAGAAGGAAGGAGGAGGAGTCAAAGATAATGATTTCTGCCGAGGCAGCAGGTTACCAGCAACATTACCGACTGAAATAAGAAACGGGAGGAAAAGGACCGAGGGAAGAAGAAGACAGCTCTGTTTTGTGTAGGTTGAGTCTGCGGCACATCCGAGATACCAGAGTGAGGATGGCAAGCTGAATAAACAAGTCTAAAGCTTGAGAGAAAGCTGAAGACACGCGTTTACTATAATTAGGACACACACGGTAATCAAAGCCATGGGAGTAAAGTGATGCCAGAGAGGTCAAAAAAAGAGTTTCAAAAAGGGTAGAATAGTAAATAGTATCGAGAGCTGCGGAGGAGACTAGTGAGGTGAAGAAGCGTTCACTGAATTTAGCAATGATGAAGTCACCAGAGAGCAGACCGGGCGAAAACAGTTGAAGTGATGTAACGGCAGAGTCCGCACTGCAGCAGCTGGCGATGAACGGGGCACAAGCAGACTAAGATAATAAACGGAGACATCCGAGAGGGAGAAAGTACACCAGCAGCTGGAATGATGCGCAAGGTTACAGAGTTACTATTATTTTAAGATGGAAGAGAACTGAATAGGTTAAGCACTGCCAGGAAGAATCCAGAGTGAAGGAGCTGCTGATGGAAGAGGGAGAGGCAGGTAAAAATTAAGAGAGCAAAGACGGAAATGCTGAGGAGAAATTAAACAAGGCTAGAAGGAGAAATACTTTCAGGGAGAGTTCTCACCTGATGGCTTTGAATCTTCCTGATGTTGGAAATTAGGTCATATACTAGAAGTAAGAGGAGGGCACCTAGGCGGCTCAGTCAGTTAAGCGTCCCGACTCTGGACTTCGGCTTAGATCATGATCTCACGGTTCCTGAGTTCAAGCCCCGCATCTGGCTCCATGCTCCCGGCACGGAGACTACCTAGGATTCTCTCTCCCTCTCTCTCTCCCCCTCCCCCACTCCCTCTCAAAATAAATAAACCTAAAAAATAAAAGTACGGGCAAAAGTGGTAGAGTTCAAGATTTGAAAGGATAAAAGGAGATTTGGTTGAATAAAATCTATTCATTTAAGTTCATTTACTACTTTATTATCTCAAATTATTAAAACATCCATAGCTTTATCTTCATGATTGCAATATATTTACACCAAATCCTTAGCTGTGGGGGAAAAAAAATCCCAATTCCAACATTATTTTTCTGAAAAAAAGATTTGTCTTATGACAATAGGCTTTATAACATACTTTCTAGTAAAGCCCCATGGGCACTCATTATTTTAAAAATACATTAAGTGTACCTACACTCAATGTTCACTATGTCTGAATGATGTGTGAAAGAATTAAAAACATGAAGTTGAAGAGGGGGATGCAAAAATAAAATGACGTCAGGACTAGAATACGTCTGCCAGACACTTTCACATACACGGTACTGGTTTAACCAGATGGTTAACCCAGGAGTGAGTACAAGGGATTGTTATAGGTACTATTTGAGGATAGCATCCTAGATCTGGGCACTCTAAGGAGAAAGAGAGTGGTGGGAAAGAAAATAAATTAAACCCAAGACTTACCCATTCACCTCCTTAACAACAACCCTGAATTTCTCTTGTATGTAAATGGTCAAGCTGCCATATGCAAACGTCTTCTCAATGAACTGAAAAATTCTAATCTGCAAACAGTTCTCTCCCCCATCCCAAGTAATTATATGTGTTATATTTTATAAAGGTAAGTGATGAGAAAGAAAGGTGAAATGGGAGAATAGAAAAACTTTAGATGTTTGATAATCAAAAAGGCAACCTCCTCTTGAAAATCATTGAATTACCATCATAATATAACAGCACTTTGTGGTCTACAGAGCACATTTATTTATATATCCATCCACACAGTCACTTTTTAGTAAAAAGGCACATTGGAGAGGGAAAGGATTTGTTCCCTAGTTTCAGTCATGATCCGGTTAAAGTAGTCAGACTGCATAAATAAATAATTGCAATATAGTGTTTTAAGTGCTATAAATAGAAGGGACCAACTACAACTTGAAGGGTTGAAGCAAGATGAAAGAAAGCTTCAGAAAGAGGCTACCTAAGCAGAGATTTTCAAGATTTCAGAAGTTTGTGAGGAAAGAAGGGAGGGGCCGTGGAGAGAAACCAGTAGCAAGAGCAGACGGTCCAGAAAGTGGGAACGGTACGTACAAAAATACGGAAGCATGGGGAAAGTGTGACATGCTCAGAGAATAGCAGAGAGTAGCGGGAGCACTTTAACATCATGAAACATGCTCCCAGTGCTGAGGATGGATGAGATTTTAGAAACAGGCAGAGGGAAGATGGGAGGGGGTCAGCTGTGGCATCTGTGTCCAAACAGGGGTACACAGAGTATATGTGCTTCACTTCAGGGAGAGTAAAAAAACAAGAAAATATTACATTAAAAATAATAAAGAAAGCTGAGGGAAAGTGTGTTACACGAGGAAGCCGAACGAAAGAGTAAGCCAGTAATAGAAAATGGCCGTAAAGGAGCGGGTAAAAAAAATGAGCAGTGTTTTGGTACAAAAGAGTAATGCACACACATATGAAATTTCACTTCCTTCCTAAAACCCTACTAAAACAATGGCAAAGAAGGTTTTTAAAAATATTAACTCACATGGATGAGAAATGGAGAGGAGGCAGCATAAAGCTTTGGAAACTAGAAAGTAAGTGGACAAACACTAAGTGGTTAACAAGACCCAAGAAAAACTAGATCAGACACTGACAGTGAAGGAAACTGAGGACCAATTAGATGCATACAGCAAGATCCTCCAAGATCAGAGAACTGACAGTACGAGATAACTCTGGAAGCAGAACTGGCTGAGTGGAAGATAAAGCTGAAGAGACATTCCTAGAAAATAGAATAAAATAAGAAATGTGAAAGAAAAACAGAAAAATTAGACAACCAGTCCATGAAATCCAATATGCAAGTAATTAGCAGTTAAGAAAGAAAGAACAGAGAAAAGAAGTAATTCAAGGCAACCTCCCAAACTGAATGACAGGATTTCTAAAACTGAACCGGCGCAATGAGTTCCCACCACAAACAGCTGAAAACAGACCCACATCAAGACACAATACCTACATCTTTCAGAAAAGTGGAGATGAGCGGATTT